GGGAATAGCATGGTAATATACATAATGCGCTGTGCGGGGTTGTGTGTGTCACAGCTGGGAATAGCATGGTAATATACATAATGCGCTGTGCGGAGTTGTGTGTGTCACAGCTGGGAATAGCATGGTAATATACATAATGCGCTGTGTGAAGTTGTGTGTGTCACAGCTGGGAATAGCGTGGTAATACACACAACACGCTGTGTTGAGTTGCGATGTGTCACAGGTGGGAATAGCATGGTTATATACATAACGCGCTGTGCGGAGTTATGTGTGTCACAGCTGGGAATAGCATGGTAATATACATAATGCGCTGTGTGGATGTGTTTGTCACAGCTGGGAATAGCATGGTAATATACATAACGCGCTGTGTGGAGGTGTGTGTGTCACAGCTGGGAATAGCATGGTAATATACCTAATGCGCTGTGTGGAGGTGTGTGTGTGTCACAGCTGGGAATAGCATGGTAATATACATAACGCGCTGTGTGGAGGTGTGTGTGTCACAGCTGGGAATAGCATGGTAATATACATAATGCGCTGTGTGGAGGTGTGTGTGTGTCACAGCTGGGAATAGCATGGTAATATACATAATGCGCTGTGTGGAGGTGTGTTTGTCACAGCTGGGAATAGCATGGTAATATACATAACGCGCTGTGTGGAGGTGTGTGTGTGTCACAGCTGGGAATAGCATGGTAATATACACAACGCGCTGTGTGGAGGTGTGTGTGTCACAGCTGGGAAGAGCCTGGTAATATACATAATGCGCTGTGTGGAGGTGTGTGTGTGTCACAGCTGGGAATAGCATGGTAATATACATAACGCGCTGTGTGGAGGTGTGTGTGTCACAGCTGGGAATAGCATGGTAATATACACAACGCGCTGTGCGGAGTTGTATGTGCCACAGGTGGGAATAGCATGGTAATATACATAATGCGCTGTGTGGAGGTGTGTGTGTGTCACAGCTGGGAAGAGCCTGGTAATATACATAACGCGCTGTGTGGAGGTGTGTGTGTGTCACAGCTGGGAATAGCATGGTAATATACACAACGCGCTGTGTGGAGGTGTGTGTGTCACAGCTGGGAAGAGCCTGGTAATATACATAACGCGCTGTGTGGAGGTGTGTGTGTGTCACAGCTGGGAATAGCATGGTAATATACATAATGCGCTGTGTGAAGTTGTGTGTGTCACAGCTGGGAATAGCATGGTAATATACACAACGCGCTGTGTGGAGGTGTGTGTGTCACAGCTGGGAATAGCATGGTAATATACATAACGCGCTGTGCGGAGTTATGTGTGTCACAGCTGGGAATAGCATGGTAATATACATAATGCGCTGTGTGAAGTTGTGTGTGTCACAGCTGGGAATAGCATGGTAATATACACAACGCGCTGTGTGGAGGTGTGTGTCACAGCTGGGAATAGCATGGTAATATACACAACGCGCTGTGTGGAGTTGTGTGTGTCACAGCTGGGAATAGCATGGTAATATACATAACGCGCTGTGTGGAGGTGTGTGTCACAGCTGGGAATAGCATGGTAATATACATAACGTGCTGTGTGGAGGTGTGTGTCACAGCTGGGAATAGCATGGTAATATACATAACGCGCTGTGCGGAGGTGTGTGTGTGTCACAGCTGGGAATAGCATGGTAATATACATAACGCGCTGTGCGGAGGTGTGTGTGTGTCACAGCTGGGAATAGCATGGTAATATACATAACGTGCTGTGTGGAGGTGTGTGTCACAGCTGGGAATAGCATGGTAATATACATAACGCGCTGTGCGGAGGTGTGTGTGTGTCACAGCTGGGAATAGCATGGTAATATACATAACGCGCTGTGCGGAGGTGTGTGTGTGTCACAGCTGGGAATAGCATGGTAATATACACAACGCGCTGTGAGGTGTGTGTCACAGCTGGGAATAGCATGGTAATATACACAACGCGCTGTGTGGAGTTGTATGTGCCACAGACGGATGTATAAACACCTCATCTTACGCCTGAAATGGTTTTGGTTTGGTTTGGTGTTTAACGCCGCACTCAGCAATATTCGCCTGAAATGAGTGAGTGAGTAAGTAAACGTTGAGTACATTAGAACGTCTTACCAACGCAGTGGGTTCGAATCCCGGTTCGCCCCGATTATGTTTCTAGGTTTGTTAGCACCATACCCGTGCTCGTGGGTTTCATCGAAGTGGTAAACGTCTGAGGCCTGCATCACTTCGGGCTTTCTTCCCACATTAAGCTGACACGCCGTGATATAACTGGAATACTGTTAAAAGCGGCGTTAAACCCAACTCACTCACTCACTCACTTATCAACGCAGAGGGATACTACGTGTACCCATGAACCGTTCATCCAGATTCACTGTCGACACATACGGGTGAGTTAGTGTGTTAAATGCAAGGTCGCATCTGCATCATTTCAGCCATACAGCGACAAGAACAAGTTTATATAATTGAGCAATGAATACAAAGTTATATTTTACGACACGTCCGGACGTGTGTTCAATGTGCTCCACGGTATTTTTGGCTTTGTTTGAGCTTACAGAGTTCGACATGTACTCTTCTTTGGCTGAATTTCGTTAAATACGTGCCGAATTTCAGCGGATATAAAGAAAACGTAGTTAAAAGATTTAAAGCAAATCGCGGAAAGTCTCCCCTCTTCCTGTATTTTGCAAAATTGAGCGGCAGTAACCGACGCGAAAGGCTATATTTTGGCTGAACATTTCAAAACGTTTTCAGTTGAGAAAACGTTTTTACGTTTAAACGTTGTTAAGGTGAACAATTGATTTGCCTTTGGGTGTCACCGGGAGGGCAGAATACACTCACTTTTTCATAGCGATTCATAAAAAGAAGCTTATGATTTACTAGTACAGTAAAGTACGGTTATAACGAACTCAATGGGACTACTAATTTTAGTTCGTTATAAACGTAGTTCGTTATAAGTACATATACAGCATGACTACAGCAAGTAGTCGGGACCAAAAAGTTAGTTCGCTATATCCGTCAGTTCGTTATAAGCGTGTTCGTTATAACCGTAGTTTACTGTAGTCGAAATCTTACAGTGGACTCAGCTTTTAGTAGAGATTTCTGTGGAATACGGATTGTGCATTTTGTTTACAAATCAACCTGAAACAGCTGTAAATCCTCGCAGATCAGTATTATATAAAGGTTATTATACGAGCATGTGTGGGATACTGATTTTACGAAACGAGTGTCAGAATTATTGTATTTCCCGAACGAAAACGAGGGTAATACATGAAATATAAGACGAGTTTCGTAAAATCAGTTTGACACAAGCGAGATAATGATTTCTTTTTACTCATTATTTCTTGACCCTTTTGAGTTCCCCTTCAGACAAATGCACTGATCACGACCACCGTCTGAGGACATGCACATTTGCCTCATGTATGAAATATATTACGACATTCGTGACCAACTCGTGTTATTCCGGGACAAGCCGAATAGCGACTCGTGCCCCTCTCGTGGCCATTTTTGCAATCGGGTTCCGTCTTTGCGCAAACGGGCATACCTAAAACAATTGTCAACTCGTTGTGTAATGGTTCACACATATTTCCCCGTATATTATATATTTTAGATACAATTTAAAGCAGATCTGGACATGCGGACTTATACAGTATGTTTGAACACATTTAACTGTGTCTTGGGTATATTTTTAGATGCAAGACACATGTAAAATCAAATATTATTTCTGAGGGATTCTTTGACAAAGAACGTGAAATCATAGGCGCATTCTGATTGGTTTGTCGTACTTTCGAACATAACATTCATCGATAGAGGGACGAGTCTTCTTGCAGGTTACGGAAAGGGGCGAGTGGTGACGAATGATACTACGAGTGCTTCTTGTCATAATCGTTTCTGAAGCGCCATTAAAATAGCACTTCAAATGTATTCATAACATTGATTATTGATAAACTTTTCGTGAACTGGATGCAAAATGTTTGTTATTATATTTGTCTCAGTATGCACAGCAACCTTGCTGTCACCGGTCTCTCTCGTTCAATTTAAAACAATTTTATTGAGTACTCTAACACAAGTACAATTCGGATTTATGACACAGGGAATATACTACAAAGGGCTGTATAACACAGGGTATACTTCATCAGGATGTAGGACACATATCACACAGTGGTACAATATAGAGACATCACTTTGCTCTTTTACAGTTCTTCTAAGGTGCGTAGGTTTATATATACATGTATAACAATGTTCTTTAACATATCTTCATTTTTACTGGCCACGAGCATATTAAATGTATACTTCTCAAATTTTGCAAAGAGTCAAATGTTGATGATATCAAAAAATCATCCAACAAATAAAGATTCAAATATCCCGGTACACAATGATTGGGTAACCCCTATAGGGCCTCCGTTTCATAATGAACGGACAGACGCATGTCGTCATGGGTACGATGCGCAGGAGGTGCTTGAAAACCTGTTGGATGTTGGCAGAACCACTGCACATAATTATGAATTATCACATCAACATTTGCTACTGGGGATTGCAACAACTGAATGCATTTATGTCCCCTCAGCACGAAGACGTCGTTTGACGACCGAAGAGTGAGTGAGTGAGTGAGTTGGGTTTAACGCCGCTTTTAACATTATTCCAGTTATATCACGGCGTGTCAGCTTAATGTGGGAGGAAAGCCCGAGGTGATGCAGGTCTCAGACGTTTACCACTTCGGTAAAACCCACGAGCACGGTTATGGTGCTGACAAACCTAGAAACATAATCGGGGCGAACCGGGATTCGAACCCACAATCATAGGTTTCTGACGTGCCCAAGGGACATTTGTAGCAGCAGTACAAGCAATATCAGTTTTAGCAGTAGCAGCAGCAGTAGCAGTAGTAGTAGCAGCAGCAGCAGCAGTAGTAGTAGTAACAGCAGTAGCAGTAGTTATAGTACCAGCATTAGTAGTAGTGGTGGTGGTAGTAATAATAGCAGCAGCAGCAGCGGTAGTAGTAGCAGCAGCAGTAGTAGTAGTAGTAGTAGTAGTAGTAGTAGTAGTAGTAGTAGTAGTAGGAATAAGTACACAATCAATATATAGAAAAATTTACCATTATCAGTACTTCACTAAGAAAGTGTTATCCCAAATATACTATTAGTCACAGTAATAGAAGTAGTAGCGGCGGCGGCGGCGGCGGCGGCGGCGGCGGCGGTGGTGGTGGTAGTAGTAGTAGTCGCAGCATAGCGACTCCTGTTGACCCCGTCAGAAGATATAGCATCGAGACTCCTGCTATCCCCGTCAGAAGATATATCATAGAGACTCCTGTTGTCCCCGTCAGAAGATATAGCATAGAGACTCCTGTTATCTCCGTCAGAAGATATAGCATAGAGACTCCTGTTGTCCCCGTCAGAAGATATAGCATAGAGACTCCTAGTATCCCCATCAGAAGATATAGCATAGAGACTCCTGTTGTCCCCGTCAGAAGATATAGCATCGAGACTCCTGTTGTCCCCATCCGAAGATACAACATAGAGACTCCTGTTGTCCCCGCCAGAAGATATAGCACAGAGAGACTCCTGTTGTCCCCGCCAGAAGATCAGGACAATCTGTACAGCAGCATTAGAACCTGGTGTTTACACAACTGGTAACTCGCAGATGAAGGGGTCACTCCTTGAACAGACATCTGATTTAAAGAACGTTGTAGAGGATATAGCAATAGCGCCACACAGTTCACCAGGCGTCTCAGGGTGGCCAGACTTCCAGGTCACACCCGATACGTTCCGTCCATCTACCCAGGCGAGCACGTCATTCGGGTTGGATCGGTCGAATCCTATCCATATGTTGTACCCTACAATGGCGAGAGAAATTCATTATTTTCCAATTCAAACATATTGATGTTCTTTCACAATAATGACTTTAAAAGAAGTTAAACTATTTTAGGTGAGGTGACCCGGTGTTTAACGTCGACGTGCATGGCGACGTGCATGGCGTGCGTGCGTGCGTGCGTGCGTGCGTGCGTGCATGCGTGCGTGCGTGTGCGTGCGTCTGGTCTAGACTCATTATTTTCAGACCGCCGTCATGTAGCTGGAATATTGCTTGGTGCGGCGTTAAACAAGTAAACAAACAAACTTTCATCACCTGTCATAGTGTCAGTCACGAGCTGTACTTCCTCCGGAGTATCAAGAATTGCCAGGTCACCACCATCCGCCTGGCATACCCCTCTTGCCCCCTCCCAAGTCAGAGTCTCCGACTTAAATAGCAGGTATGTAGGCACGGGGGTCGTGGTCGTCGTGGACGGCGTCGTGGTCGGTGTCGTTGACGTTGTTGATGGGATGGGACAGCCAACCTTGACTGAGGAGACTGAAATCAAATAAAACAAATACCAGTAAAGGCATTGTTTATGCCAGCTGGAAGCGTCCTTTCTGAGTACTGAGTACTATCGCTTTGTATCTATGCTTAAGAGTAAGTTGGGTTTAACGCCGCTTTGAACAGTATTCCAGTTATATCACGGCGTGTCAGCTTGATGTGGGAGGAAAGCCCTAAGTGGTGCAGGTGTCAACCGCTAACCTCATTTGCGGAACCCACGAATACGGTTATGGTGCTGACAAACCTCGAAAAAACATCGGGGCAAACCGGGATTCGAACCCATGATATGTTTCAGCACCTTCGACGACTGAGACACCCGTGTAGCTGTGTTGATTTGTTTCTGTGGAGATTCGGTAGACGCTCATTGCATTGTATTTGGGCAATGTAAGCAGTCTGTAGGAAGTTACTATATTTAGATGCTGGTGTGGTGTGCAGACTTCCGGTACGGTATACCGCGGACGGTGATAGTGTGTTATAGAAATATATGTTCTGTAATGTTCTAGTGCTGCTAGGCTGGTGAGGCCATGGTATAGAACTTTTCAATCGCTTGTTAGATCTTATATATAGTGAGACAAGGGCGTGTTTAGGTATCTCTCACATATTTCACCGCTTCTGTACCAGCTTTCATGTGAGGACCGGTTATCATCCCTGATTCCCGACCTAGCCCTTCTCGGAAGCTTAATCACAGTCAGATGAGTGAATATATAGAGGTTATCACGCGAGTGTGTTTCGGGATGGTAAATATCCTGCATTAGGAATACACATTTTATTTAGCGATCCTTGGCGAGCTAAATACATAGTGTTTATTCCTAATACAGAATATTTACCATCCCCAAACACACAAGCGTGATAACCTCTTTATCATATAATGTCATTCTTTAATTCTGTGCTTTAAAATCGCTTTCCCTCTCTCACAAACATTACCGAAACATTGCAAGTTTTCCTGGACTGCGCGCATTAATATTTATTACGTCACAGGGTAAGTGATGTGTCAGTCGGACACTGACAGTAACCAATATAGTTACAACTGAAATCTGTTTCTTATACAGTGGCGAAGCAACATATACGCAAAACAACAGTTGTTTTTAATTGCCTTTCGCGGCAATCCATCGGACTGAACCCTAGAGTAACTGCGCTTTGTCAAAGGGAAGCTACTCTAACCCTACTCTATGAGACGTCACAGCCACGGTCAGATGTTGTTGATAGTCGGTCTGTCCTGTCATAACGTTAAGAAGTGTAGTCAGATGTACCCACAGCGACAAAACGAAACAAGGTAACAATTCAAACATATTTCGGCCAAATCAAACTATTTTAATTTGTGGAGAAGGTTTCAAGCCGCAGAGGTCTACAAGCACAGATATGGCTTCTGATCCCGCTTGGCTAGGCCTCGTGCCCTCGCAAAATTGTTTCGAAATTTCCATCTCCAAAGTTGCCAAAACTTATAAAATGCCTTAGCTACGTCTCAGTTAGACACTGATTTTCAGTATATTAGACTGTTCTTTTGTTAATGATAGCAATTATCCCTGTAGATTATCCTGATTCCCGATGGTTAATTCTGTCTCGATCGCCGACTGACGAGGGCGACGCCATGTTTGTTTATAAACAGTGAAAGTAGTCCTACTTGACCTTTGATATTTGCATCTCTATCCGCATATGACCCCAACGGATATCGTTTTTATCCGTTGGCTTTATCCTGCCGAGAACCCTACCCATTATATGATAAATATTATTATCACTAACTTTTGCCATCACCACGTATTTTATCTGATACTGACCGCTGCCATCATGTGTATATTGCCATTGAATATTGTACTTCCACTCTATTGTGTACTGCCATTGTAATTGTTGTGCAGTAATTTGTATTGATTTGTAAACTTATTTCATTTTTGGTAATACATTTGTTGATTGTATTCCACTTGTTGGTTGGTTGTTGGTTTAACACTTAGTTCTCTTACGTACATATTTCTGGGTTAACTTATTGTTTCAATTTTAAAATCGACACGTAACAAAGAGGGTTCCAACATTTTATTAATGACGTACAGAAACTTCAAGTCTTGCAGTCATCAATCATTCATAATCACAATGTGCAGTTTTATTATTCATAAAAAAAAATCATAAATGAATTGATACAGGTAAATATGCTTTTGGTGCATAATTTTTAGAATCATTTAAAACATTTTTATTTTATTTTGAGGACGTTGACACAAACGTCACCCTAAGTCTATATATAGAGGTATTTCTTGGAGGACATGTATTCCTAGCTCGGTCGATGTTCTATATATCAGCTCCAAGTATAAATACATGAGTTGGATGGAAACCGCGGCGGCTGACAGCTTACATAAAGTGTTGGATGAAGCGAAAGGAATACCGATCCATACTTCCGGAATTCGACTTCCGTTTGCCCGGACTGAGTACGTGATAAAGTCATTGATTCTCCATTAACCCAAGACTAGAAACCAGCTGCTAACAATTGCCTCGGTTGTATTTGTAGACATTTTCAAACAAGATCTGCCTGATATTACACCTTTTCATCTTTTCATCATATTCCAATCGCTTCGCTGTAACCACACTATATTAATAACCACAATAGTCTCACAGAATTTTTAAAAAATAATCATAAGTTTAATGGTGAAAGGCTTCGCGTACATATTTTCTTAATTCATGCAGATCAGTGGGTACAAGTGTGTCACATAGACAATATTACATAGTTTGCCAAAAGAGAGGAAGCTCATATGAGTAACATGGGCATGTTCGTAGTGGCTACCTTCTCGAGTAATAAATACATTCATTTAGAAAATAAATTTAATAAATCTACAAATGATATATTGAGATAATGGTTATGTACTATCAAAGAATTATTTCAAATAGTATATTCTTTAGGTATATATTCATGAAATGGCAAAAAACCTTGATCCTTCCACAAGTCCCTGGTGGAGTGAATACCATTAAGATGTCATGTTTTATGATGAAATTACTATTTTTTAATTGACGATTGAACCAGTCTAAGGCGCCGCGAATCGCTGTGCAGAGTTGCGTCCCTTGGGCACGCCAGAAACCTATGATTGTGGGTTCGAATCCTGGTTCGCACCGATTATGTTTCTAGGTTTGTCAGCACCATACCCGTGCTCGTGCGTTTCACCGAAGTGATAAACGTCTGAGACCTGCATCACTTCGGGCTTTCCTCCCACATTAAGCTGACACGCCGCTATATAACTGGAATACTGTTAAAAGCGGCGTTAAACCCAACTCACTCACTCACTCACTCACTATTTACTTACTGACTTTATGCATTTATGGGATCATAAATGTACAGTGCGCACATCAGTTTTTACGATTACATCTCAATAAACGCATCACATATTGAAGTTAATTCTTGAACACCAGATTTGTTCCTATGACTCTAGTTAATCTGTCATGTCAATATGAAACATTCGAGTATTTATTTAACACATTTTGAGAAGTATACAATACGCGAGTGGCCTATCGGACAGCTGGATTTTTTAGGATAATGATAACTTTATACAACCATATTTCAAATCATTATATCATCATCGCGTCATCATTGTGTCATCTGCGCCCATCAGCTCCATCCAAGGAGAACCTCAGCTTCATTGTGTTATCAAACTGGCATCGCCTTGTTATCAACAGTACTCTACCTTCGTGTTTCTTTGAACATCTGATGACGACCCCAACCCCGACCCCAACCCCGACCCCGACCCCAACCCCGACCCCAACCCCAACCCCGACCCCAACCCCGACCCCGACCCCAACCCCAACCCCGACCCCAACCCCGACCCCGACCCCGACCCCGACCCCAACCCCGACCCCAACCCCAACCCCGACCCCAACCCCAACCCCGACCCCAACCCCGACCCCAACCCCAACCCCGACCCTCGTCTCCCCTGCCTCTCACCCCGAGGTCATCATGAACTAACACAAAATGAGTGAGTGAGTGAATTTGGTTTATTCTGCTTTTAGCAATATTTCAGCATTATCAGGGCGAGGACACCAACAATGGACTTCACACATTCATACATGTGACGAATCGAACGAACGAGTTCACTTTTCTTTCTACTAGAGTTTCCCTCGTTGTATATCTGGATTGATCACAAGATCGATGCTGGAATCAAGGTCCCTGACTTCTAATGTCAACTGTCAGCTTTCTAACGATTGTGTCTGCCTCGGTGATTTCAGTGATGTTATCTACGCAGACATTATTCTGTGTACTGTTCTGGACTATCTTATGAAGCTGGTTTTCTCTGGAGCATAACTTCACGATAAGCAGTTTTCTTCTTCATCTCTATTTAAGAACGTGGTACTCTAAAAAGGATATCGAACTGATTTCATAACCTCTGCTTCCGACTATTCAGTGACAATACGTCTTTTTTTTTTTTTTTATAAAACTCTACTACAATGTGAAGAAGGGTGGTACGCTTATGAAATCAATATGTTCGATGGTCGCTGAGAGCGGCTTTATATACAGTAAACTACGGTTATAACGAACAAGCTTATAACGAACTAACGGATATAACGAATTAACTTTTTAGTCCCGACTATATGCTGTAGTTATGCTGTATATATGCTTATAACGAATTACGGTTATAACGAACTAAAATAAGTAGTCCCTTTGAGTTCGTTATAACCGTAGTTTACTGTATATGAACTGCCGGGCAAAAGAAAGGATACATCCTTTGTGATGGTGGCTAAAATGAAACAAACAAGAGGTGGTTATTCGATGGTGATGTATACTCAACAACAAAATTTCCTGTGACACCAATATTTAAGTGTATTTTCAAACAAGTAAAGTTCGGTTTTCAATATTGTAGTACATGTATGGAATCAAGTCACAAAAACGCAACTGCTACAGAAAGTATGCATTCCATGCAAATGTTGACTTTTATGCAAGCCCCATGCATTTCACTACCCAAGAATGGGTATAAAAACATGTGCGTTAACGGGATTCCATATGCATTGTTTAGCATCGTGCTGACAACAGTAGAGAGAAAGTAATACCTTCCGGACAAAAGCATTCCTGTGGAGCGTGGAGCACCAACAAAAGCATTCCTGTGGAGCATAGAATTTCCAACAAATTCCTGTGGAGCATGGAATTTCCAACAAAAGCATTCCTGTGGAGCATTGAATTTCCAACAAAAGCATTCCTGTTACCTTCCGGACAAAAGCAGCCCTGTGGAGCGTGGAATTTCCATCAAAAACATTCCTGTGGAGCAAAGAATTTCCATCAAAAACATTCCTGTGGAGCAAAGAATTTCCATCAAAAACATTCCTGTGGAGCAAAGAATTTCCAACAAAAGCATTCCTGTGGAGCGTTGAATTTCCATCAAAAGCATTCCTGTGGAGCAGCATTTCTATAAATCTACTCGTGTGTGGGTTTTAACCGCTGAACCTGTTAACCCTTTCACCGAAATCAATTCGTTTATAAACATTTTTCTCTACTTCATTCACGTTTCACTAAGTGTTAAAGACGCATAGAGTAAAGAAACAAACAAAAGCATTATTGTGGAGCATACCACAGAGGTCAGTCAATACCTTTCACACAATAGAAGCAAATTTTGCTAAAGGAGACCAGCAGTAAGGCTGGCTCTGTATATATTCGCTCTGTTCAAACATGTAACTATGTCACCGCTCACTAGTATCAATACACTAGAGGTAGCTCTCTCTCTTACCCACTCTTTATACGCAAGAGTAAATCTATTCGTGTGTGGGTTTTAGCCGCTGAACCTGTTAACCCTATAACATAACATTCCAGGATCAACGTGTCATCCACTTATTAAATGTATGGTACGATGAATACTCAGTAACCAATGAAACGCTAAGGAAGACAAAGTACACCAATGAAATTCAATTTTATAGAAGTTAAGCAGTGTTTAACTGTTGAAGCTTTCATTCGTGCTTAAACAGCGATCTTGTCAACAAGACGAAATCTTCACGCCAGTATACATCTCGAATCTGATCATGGGAACCCGAACAACTGACAAGTATGTATTTTTTTACACCAGAACTTCAGTGTTTAGTCAACATTTTTCTACTGAGATTGTTATTGAAGGAATAGCATTTAACTGTGCTGAGCAGTATTACATGTATAAAAAAGCTTGTATGTTCAGTGATTGGGAAACTGCGCATAAGATTTTAAAGTGTGTTTCTGCTGCTGAACAAAAACGTTTAGGTAGAAGTGTGAGATGTTTTAATCAACGCCAATGGGATGTTGTGAGTTCCAATGTGGTGTATGCAGCATCTTCAGCTAAATTCTCACAGTCTGTTTTTCTGAAGAAACAACTGTTAGACACTTTTCCCAAGATCTTGGTAGAAGCGAGTCCATATGATCGTGTGTGGGGTGTGGGTCTATCACTGCATGACCCTAATATTCTTAATCCATCTAAATGGAAAGGCAGTAATAGACTTGGTCAGATCTTAATGAAGGTTATAAATGAAATAATGAACACAGAGTCAAGTGAAAACTGATGGTTTTAAATGTGTTACAGTGATGTAACTTGCTATTTTGAACAGCGGCAAGAAAACTACATTCTACTCATGGAAGCAGGTCATGCGGATGCCACACACTCTAAATGAACCAGTCATAACACGATCACCTGAGTGGTTTCAAGATAAGGAAGAATGCGTGAAAGATGCAAAGAGAAAATTTAAAGATGAATACAAGGCAACAAAGAGAGTCATTATCAAGAAGATGAAAACCTTACCACTCAATGCTGATGAAGTAGATATGGCTACAAAACTGAAACAAGCAGAGGATCTTCTCACGATGAGTTACTCTTTAGAAGTGAGTAAAATGATCAGTCAGCTCGCATGTGAAATGTGTATTCCTTGTCTGTTTAATGAAGAAGGTGATCCAATATTTTTGGGAGATCATTCTTGTCGCATGTCGGAGCAGGAGCAGGTTGATAAATACTTCAACGCGGCACTTGAGGATATGGACAATGAACTGGTAATAGGAAAATGGATGAAACTTGTGATTGATGATCCACATCTGTGCACAATGCCTGCTTTCAATTTAGTACCTTACCAGTGTAAGGACTATCGTGACAATACATTCAAATCACCTGAATGGGTGAATGGTTTGAAGCAATGTGTTGTAAAAATGTTGAAGTTGCAAAAACGCTTGTAGACTGTTTCCATGTCATATTATTTTATCAGTACCAAATGAAATGTGTGTGTGTGTGTGTGTGTGTTTGTGTGTGTGTGTGTGTGTGTGTGTGTGTGTGTACTTTAGCAATATTCATACTATGAATAAAACATAAATTATGCTTACATCTTTGTTTGTCTTCTTTTGATAGTTATCAAATGGTTGTTCTTTAATAGGTGTCTGTTGTCAGTGCTTCTCTCATTTCATCATGAAGCCACAACAGAGAAAGGTGCTAACAAAGAAACAGGAGAAGATATTAGAAAGTTACTATTTTAACCCGCTTGAACCGGGAGCTTTTTATGGACCTGAGAAACTTCATAGCGTTCTGAAATTAGATCGTCAACCAGATCTCAGACTGAGCACTGTGAGACGTTTTCTGAACAAACAGGACGCCTACAGTTTACACAAGCCACCCAAACAGAGATTCAAAAGGCTGAGAGTTCGAGTGAATTCTATAAATGAAATGTTTGATGTAGATTTGACTGACATGACTCGTTACAGCAAGGAGAATAATGGCGTGCGTTATTTACTGGTAGCTATTGACATACTGAGTAGGTTTGCTTTCGCCCTACCTTTAACAAATAAGAGACCAGAGACAGTATTGAAAGCTTTTAAAGAAATTATTCAGGAACGAAATCCAATGAAAGTACGTGTGGATGGTGGTTCAGAGTTTAAAGGAGTATTTAAAGATTTTTTAGAAAAACACAATATCACTCTGACTGTTGCACATAATGAAAATATCAAAAGTAATTATGTGGAACGATTCAACAGAACACTGAAATCACTTATTACTCGCTACTTGACCCATAATAACACCAAGTATTATTTAGATGCACTACCCAAGTTGATGGACAATTATAACAACACATTACATTCTTCTTTGCCCAACCTTTCACCGGTTCAAGTCAAGAAGAAGAATGAACTGAAAGTATGGGAACATTTGTATGTGAAGCCGTTGTTACTTAAAAAACAAAGCTCCAAACACAACCGGTCAAAGGCATTTGTATTTAAAGTAGGGGATCTTGTTCGCATTCCATACCTCCGGAGACCTTTCAGTAAGGAACTTGATCTGAAGTGGACTCAAGAGCTGTTTAAGGTGGTTAGACGATACAAGAGACAAGAGATAGCACAGTATAAGATCAAAGACTTTCATGATAAACTGATAGAAGGTACGTTTTATGGCAATGAGTTACAAAAGGTGGAGAAAAAGGAAAATGTTTTGTGGCAGGTAGAGAAGATTTTAAAGAGAAAACGTGTGAAAGGGAAGACCTACCTGTTAGTGAGGTGGTTGGGCTGGCCGAGTTCCTTCGATTCTTATGTGGAGGAAAGTGAACTGAAAGATATCTGATGGAAAGGTACATATTTCTCAAAAGCTCAGACTCCAAACAATCTTATTTTAATGAGAATACGCCTTATCATTTTCGTGTTAAACTAAATCAAAGGTTGAATTTTGATGGATTCTGGGTTGTGTCTTTAACGGAGATTAATTTTGGTAAACTTGACATCACCCACATGAATGATCCATATGTGGACGTGTTATGCAATCTGTGTGATAGTTCTTTGGCAGGTGAACAGCAGTTGCCTTTATTGAGACGGCTTGATCTCAGACAAGGTCCTTACTATAGCTTTGCATGTGAATACAATATTCCGATTAAAGTCAAAGAATCTCCACACATAGAGGTGCGTATAAAGGCCAGTAACGGCATGTCACACTCATTTCTAAAGGAAGTGACATATGTGACACTGCACTTGAGACGGTATCCCTTCGTTGATTAACCATGGAGTCCACACCTTTGTATGTCCCTGATTATGTCAAATGGACCCACTATTTCAAGAAACACATGAAAGGAACATCTGCCTTAGTGAATGGTAAACCACAGGTGAAAGTGATCCCGACACGACTTCAAGTGAAGACTGAAGAACCCAAGATCAAACTGGAAGTAACATCAGAGACGCAGAATATTGTTGAGAGAGCCAATGCCAAAGAAAAGCGACGGAAATCTTTAAAACGAGCTGCAGGTGACCAAATCACCACTTCAAAGAAGATCCGTCAGACAGATAACATTCCATCAAAGACCGCTAAGGTTCTCCAGTGTACCCCTATTCGAGAAAACGACGTTTTCGGTTAATCATGTCACTGTTGAATGATAAAGACTTTGAGGAACTGATACCACCCTCTCTCAATCTGTTTATTTTACCTCCATACCAGACCAGCATCCATCAACATTATTTTGATGAGGTGCGTCCACTCAGTCAAATCAATGATTCTTCACCATTGGAATTTCAAGTAACGAATGCTGGAAGTGATTACATTGACCTGAACCGTACCCGCATACATGTGAAGCTCAAGGTGAAACATGCAGATGGCACTGATCTTGAGGACAAGGAACATATTGTCCCTGTCAACTTGTTTCTGCAGGCTCTCTTTTCCCAGGTGTCAGTGTATCTGCAGAATCAGTTGGTATCTTCTACAAACAACCATTATGCTTACAAGAGCATGATGAAAACTCTACAACCACTCAGAAAAACAAAAAAAATTACGCAATTATTCAACATTACGAAATGCCACGCCTGTCCGAAAATGAGCGTCTGCGAGCCATTGCTATGCTTGAAGCAGGATCGAGTCAACGTGATGTTGCAAAACAATTTAACGTCCACAGAAACACCATTTGGTGTTAATGGGAACGTTGGCAACAGACGAATGCAGTCAGAGACCATCCTCGGAGTGGCAGGCTACGCGTAACCAATAATCGACAAGACAACTGGATTCGAGCAACACACCTACAAAATCGATTCTAGCCAGCAACAGCGACTGCAAGAAGCATCCCTGGCCTTCGACGAATATCTTCTTAAACCGTACGTCGCCGCCTCAGATGTGCAGGGATTGTCGCCAGTAGAACCGCCAGTCGTCCCATTTTGACAGGAAACCACCGTCAAGCACGTCTACAGTGGTGCAGACAGCGTCTACGCTGGACGGCCATGCAGTTGGGACAAGTTCTATTCACTGGCGAGTCTCGTTTCCACCTTAGCCACAGCGATTGACGGATTCTAGTGTACCGACGTCGAGGTGAACGTTACGTCAATCATTGTGTCGTGGAAGAAGATCGGTTCGGGGGCGGCAGCGTTATGGTATGGGGCTGGATTACAGCAAGACTGAGGACCCGTTTGATAGTGGTAGAGGGGAATCTCAATGGACAGCGCCATCGCGACGAGATCATCGGCCCTGTTGTTCTACCATTTTTGCGTCGTCATGGCCCAGGCATTACCTTTCAACATGACTACGCCCGGCCTCATATTGCTCGACTTGTTCAGGATTCCCTTCAACAAAACAACGTGAATGTCACCCCCTGGCCGGCTCGCTGCCCTGTTCTCTAACCAATCGAGCACATGTGGGATGAGATGGATCGGCGCCTTCGACGTCAACCACGTGTTCCACAGACACTCCAGGGACTTCGAAACATGCTCCAGCAGATATGGACAGATATCCCACGGGACTTTGTGCGACGCCTGGTCCATTCCATGAGACGAAGATGTATTGCTTGCATCGCAACCAGGGGTGGACACACACGCTACTGATTTGTAAATTGACATTTTGGCATGTTCATGTTTTTTTTATGAAATCACGCATTTTCTGAAATCAGTATGGCAAATTAAACCATTTGAACACGTACACGTCTTTTATCTGTTGCAAACCGAAATTGTTTCAGATTTGGTAAAAAACATAGCTTTGCATGAAATCTTATTCAATGTCACAGGAACTTTTGTTGATCAGTTTATTTGATACGGGTATGGTATTACATGCATCATATCAATGAGAATCTCACAAATGGTGACGTGCACATGGCGTCTCAGGGAACACGAGGGTCGCGACTTCAGGGTACAGATTAATGAGCAGGTATTGTCATGGTCATGGAGTTGGTACACAGATGCCAGGCATTCTCAAAAGCGAATTTGACCAACACGAGCACCAATACACACCCAGACTCGCCGTTTTATCGATGTCGTCAGCCGCCTGATGACGTCTTTTGGAGCCCGTTGCCACTCGTCCCTCAGTGCTGCTTCCCGCTGTTGACGGTTCTGTGGTGGATGAGGACGCTTCCTGATCTGACCCTCCAGATGATCCCAAATGTGATCAATGTGGTTTAAGTCTTGTGAACGAGCTGCCCATGGAAGAACTGCGACGTTGTGCGCGGGCAAAAAATCCTGGACGACCCTTGCAGTGTGTGGCCTAGCGTTGCAGTAATTGTTGCCGTTAGGTAAGACAAGAGTGAGTGAGGTTTTACGCCGCTTTTAGCAGTATTCCTGCAATATCACGCCGGGGCTTCACACATTGTACCCATGTCGGGAATCGAAACCGGGTCTTCCGCGTGACGAGCGAACGTTAGGCTACCCGACCACCCCCGTTGGCGAAGGAATTCTAATGGGTTGAAGAACGTCATCCCTGTAGGTCCGGGAGCCGTTGTACAAAGCGATCTTATCCTGAAGGTGATCGCAACTCCCAATCCTTAACATAGACTTACGACAGTCGTAGCGCTAAGGTTGTTTTGTACAACGACAACCTGGGCGTTGAGGCTGCCACGGATGATGCCACGTTCCGTCCTTTAATTGCCACCAATTCCTCCAAAAACCATCACCTCACCGCCATTATCTGGATGCACTCCCTGCTTGCCGCCAGGTGGCAGTCGTTCCTCTGTGGCGATAAGGTGAGGTGAAATGGGGTTTAACGTCGCGTCCAAGATTTATTGCACTTATATAGCGACGTGCAAATCACTCACTGCCAGTCGGGGATCCACCATATCTGCACTGTCCTTGCAGGGCGCCGTCGTCGTCGTTGATGTTCACGGTTCAAAGCCATTCCTCGAAGGGTACATGTAGGTAGGCTGATACCGGCGAGATGGAGACGTCGTAGCACAGAGCGTCGACTGACGCGACGTCCAAACGCTGTTGCTGGCGTTTCCGTGGCTGTGATGAACCTGTTGCGCAAATGCCATGTGCGCAAGTACCGGTCGTCATGTGGAGTCGGCACACGTGACACGCGTCGGCTGCCTGGTTCTCTCTGTCAAGTGTACTTTCAGATGCAGTCTGTCTATAACGTTCTGTCAATCATTGCACTGTACAGCTGAAGGTTCTCACAATTCCTAATCTCTCTCTCTCTCTCTCTCTCTCTCTCTCTCTCTCTCTCTCTCTCTCTCTCTCTCTCTCTCTCTCTCTCTCTCTCTCGGTCAAAGGAGCCGCAGTTTAAAGTAGAAAAGGTTTGTTTGGTTGGTTTATTTCTTGTTTAACACCGCACTCAGCAATATTCCAGCTTTATGACGGCGGTCTGTAAATAATCGAGTATGGACCTGGACCAGACAATCCAGTGATTAATATCATGAGCGTCGATCCCCGCAATTGGGATCGATAACATGCATCAACCAAGTCAGCGAGCCTGACCACCCGATCCCGTTAGTCGCCTCTTACGACAAGCCTAGTTGCCTTTTACAGCAAGCATGGGTTGCTGGAGACCTATTCAACCCCGGAACTTCACGGGTCACGTAGAAAAGGGGCTTATACGTTCCATGTGTTCGGGCAGATGGACGGACAGACAAACGGACGGAGTGACCAGTGACAGATTCTCACATTGACGATGTTGAAGTTGGATGCCCACATGGACGTTTGTTGTGGACATGTTTATTTTAATGTTTTTAAGAACATTTTATCAGAAGCAAAGCAAAACTCACATCCTCATATAATCCACATATTCTTTCCATTGAATAAATGCAAGTTGATTTCTTAATATATATTTTAAGTAGTTAATAGTTGTTATATTACGTTAACCAATAATATTAAAAAACACAAATGAAATTTAAAAAGATACCTGAAATGTGTTAAAATGTTTCAATTTTATTTTTTTTAAATCATTTTGAGATCCAGTGTACCAATATAGTGCCTTGTAGAAATAATTCCGTAAGATCCACATAACACAAATTACCATGGTCTTATTTTTTATTAAAAATACAAAAATATTACTTTTTAGGACAAAGCATGTGCAACTTCAAATATGTTTAATCGTATTTCGGTAAGTAAAAAAACGATTGAAATATGAAAAAGAAAGTGTTTTACCTCTCTCGAAGATATCTGTTGTATTGCTCGAAACTTGATTCGTCATGTCAACAGTCTGCTTGTCGTATAAATAACACTCCGCATCACCGCCATCACCTAAAGACACCGTGGTCACACAGTTACTGATATAAAAACAGTTTTCAATACACTTTAAAGAAGTTGTATTTGCAGTGAAGTGAATATGTGGATCAGTAAACATCGTATTTGCCAAGTCCACGCGCCTTCTGTATTCGGCACGCGTCGCTTCACCACAAACATGCTGTCCCAGAAGAATAAAAAGTAAACTCCATATGAAATTGACCATGATGTTGTTCTTAGGTAAACTTTGATCAGTCTGTCACCACTTGCACGGGCGGCGCACGGAAGTCTCGTGCTGCGCGAGGTAAGACTGCGGGCAGGTAAAACCAGTTCGTATATCAAAATATTGAGCTGGAAGTGAGATCGATGAGACACAGAGAGACTAACTGATTTTTGGATTGATAATTATATCGATGCATATATTGTCTAATCCGGTTTAAATATAGAAATATTGAGCTCATAGATTGGTTTCTGTGCTAAAAATTAATGGAGGAGTACACGTTGCAATATATGTATGTGTCATTATTGGAGCAGGGTGCTGTTGTACGAAGCCATCTTAGCGCTAAGGTGGTCGTAGTTGCGATACCTTAACAAAGACTTACCACAGTCGTAGCGCTAAGGTTGTTTTGTGCAACGGCACCCTAGCCTCTAACAAGGGTCTGGTCACATGTTAGAGCGGGTATAAGGGGTGGAGGTCGGCTGGTGGTGGGTGGGTTGAGATTAAGGGGCGGTCAACAAAAAATGACACGTCGAAAGAAAGTGTGTGTGGGTGGTGTCTCCAAAATCATCTATGACACCTATCTGGGGGCCCAAAAGAAATGACACTTCTTTTTTTAAATAACAGGGTCAAGTCACTTATTATTGCGAGGGTCATGAATAAAAGTTACATGTTTGCATGTATTGAGGCGAGGGTGGGGTGGAGGGGAGAGGGGGTATAAACTTTGGGGATCAACAAAAAATAATACAGTCCTCAGGCCATTGGATGTGTGAGTGAGTGGGTGAGTGAGTGAGTGGGTGAGTGAGTGGATGGATGTGTGGGTGTCTGAGTTTGTGGATGGCTGTAATAGATTTGAGTGGGTGAGTGAGTGAGTGAGTAAATGTGTGGATGGTTGTGTGAGTGAGTGAGTGAGTGAGAGAGTAGATAGATTTTTCGGGTTGGTTTGTTGTTTAACGCCGCACTCAGCAATATGACGGCGGTCTGTAAATAATCGAGTCTGGACCAGACAATCAAGTGACTGACATCATGAGCATCTATCCACGCAATTGCGATACGATGGCATGCATCAACCAAGTCAGCGAGCCAGACCACCCTAGCACCTTAGTCGGTGGATAGATGTGAGTGAGAGAGGATGTGTGAGTGAATGGGTTGATGTCTGTGTGAGTGAGTGAGATAGTGGAGAGATGTGAGTGAGAGGAGGATGTGTGAGTGAATGGGTTGATGTCTGTGTGAGTGAGTGAGATAGTGGAGAGATGTGAGTGAGAGAGGATGTGTGAGTGAATGGGTTGATGTCTGTGTGAGTGAGTGAGATAGTGGAGAGATGTGAGTGAGAGAGGATGTGTGAGTGAATGGGTTGATGTCTGTGTGAGTGAGTGAGATAGTGGAGAGATGTGAGTGAGAGAGGATGTGTGAGTGAATGGGTTGATGTCTGTGTGAGTGAGTGAGATAGTGGAGAGATGTGAGTGAGAGAGGATGTGTGAGTGAATGGGTTGATGTCTGTGTGAGTGAGTGAGATAGTGGAGAGATGTGAGTGAGAGGAGGATGTGTGAGTGAATGGGTTGATGTCTGTGTGAGTGAGTGAGATAGTGGAGAGATGTGAGTGAGAGAGGATGTGTGAGTGAATGGGTTGATGTCTGTGTGAGTGAGTGAGATAGTGGAGAGATGTGAGTGAGAGGAGGATGTGTGAGTGAATGGGTTGATGTCTGTGTGAGTGAGTGAGATAGTGGAGAGATGTGAGTGAGAGAGGATGTGTGAGTGAATGGGTTGATGTCTGTGTGAGTGAGTGAGATAGTGGATAGATGTGAGTGAGAGAGGATGTGTGAGTGAATGGGTTGATGTCTGTGTGAGTGAGTGAGATAGTGGATAGATGTGAGTGAGAGAGGATGTGTGAGTGAATGGGTTGATGTCTGTGTGAGTGAGTGAGATAGTGGAGAGATGTGAGTGAGAGGAGGATGTGTGAGTGAATGGGTTGATGTCTGTGTGAGTGAGTGAGATAGTGGATAGATGTGAGTGAGAGAGGATGTGTGAGTGAATGGGTTGATGTCTGTGTGAGTGAGTGAGATAGTGGATAGATGTGAGTGAGAGAGGATGTGTGAGTGAATGGGTTGATGTCTGTGTGAGTGAGTGAGATAGTGGAGAGATGTGAGTGAGAGGAGGATGTGTGAGTGAATGGGTTGATGTCTGTGTGAGTGAGTGAGATAGTGGATAGATGTGAGTGAGAGAGGATGTGTGAGTGAATGGGTTGATGTCTGTGTGAGTGAGTGAGATAGTGGATAGATGTGAGTGAGAGAGGATGTGTGAGTGAATGTGTTGATGGCTGTGTGAGTGAGTGAGATAGTGGATAGATGTTTGAGTGGATGTGTGAGTGAATGAATGCATGTGTGAGTGAGTGGGTGAATGAGTGAATTTGTGGATGGCTGTGTGAGTGAGTGAGAGAGTGGATAGATGTGAGTGAGTTAATGGGTGTGTGAGTGAGTGGGTGAGTAGGTGAATGTGTGGATGGGTGTGAGGGTGGGTGGGTCAGTAAGAGAGTGAGGGAGTCTTTTATTACTTTCCGAAATGTTTCCATCACATTTTAGGAGTAGATGTCATATCTTGACCCATTTTGAAATCGAAACCGGCTTTAATGGGTTTAGAACACCCTGCATAGACTCTGAAACACACCCCAGTGGCTGACGAGGGTTTTACGCCACAATAACAGACATATCACGGTCCTAGACACTGAAGCACACCCCAGTGGCTGACGAGGGTTTTACGCCACAGTAAGAGACATATGGCGGTCCTAGACACTGAAGCACACCCCAGTGGCTGACGAGGGTTTTACGCCACCATAACAGACATATGTCGGTCCTAGACACTGAAACACACCCCAGTGGCTGACGAGGGTTTTACGCCACCATAACAGACATATGGCGGTCCTAGACACTGAAACACACCCCAGTGGCTGACGAGGGTTTCACGCCACAATAACAGACATATGACGGTCCTAGACACTGAAACACACCCCAGTGGCTGACGAGGGTTTTACGCCACAATAACAGACATATGGCGGTCCTAGACACTGAAACACACCCCAGTGGCTGACGAGGGTTTTACGCCACAATAACAGACATATGGCGGTCCTAGACACTGAAACACACCCCAGTGGCTGACGAGGGTTTTACGCCACAATAACAGACATATCACGGTCCTGGACACTGAAACACACCCCAGTGGCTGACGAGGGTTTCACGCCACCATAACAGACATATCACGGTCCTGGAAACAGTAAAAGATAACAAGTTAAACCTGCTGCTTCCAGCCTCCCCTGCCGCGCTATGATAGATGAGAAACAGACCTTTTCACATACAGACACTTAAAGCATAGACGTTTTAATAACATACACTTACGAAATCTACATTAAATATTAGTGGACGAATATGAACCATGAACGAGCTCGTATCTATCTCGACTACTTTAAGAGATGAACAAACAGACAGATACAGCACAACGCTATCGTGTGCAAGAAGAGGCCCTTTACTGATATTAAGAAAATTGTTTCAATGGTCATTGTCTACAAATATAAAACATAGCTTTATGAAGGGGATCTGGTGGTCAGGCTCGCTGATTGGTTGAAACATAACATAGTAACCCAATTGAGTAAATCGATGCGCATGATGTTAGTCACTGGTTTGTCTTGTCCAGACTCGATTCATGACCGCCATCATATAGGTGGAATATTGCTGTGTGTGGCGTTAAACCAACCAACAAACAAACAAATAATCATCAATACGGTCAAAATCACAAAATCTCTTGAGGACGGTGGACCAATGGTCAATCATAACGGTCAATATCACACAGTGTCTTGTAGAGAGTAGATCAATAATCCATCATAACGGTCAATATCACACAGTGTCTTGTAGACAGTAGATCAATAATCCATCATAACGGTCAATGTCACACAGTGTCTTGTAGACAGTAGATCAATAATCCATCATAACGGTCAATATCACACAGTGTATTGTAGACAGTAGAACAGTGATCTATCATAACGGTCAATATCACACAGTGTCTTGTAGACAGTGGATCAATAATACATCATAACGGTCAATATCACACAGTGTCTTGTAGACAGTGGATCAATAATCCATCATAAAGGTCAATATCACACAGTGTCTTGTAGACAGTAGATCAATATTCCATCATAAAGGTCAATATCACACAGTGTCTTGTAGACAGTAGATCAATAATCCATCATAACGGTCAATATCACACAGTGTCTTGTAGACAGTAGATCAGTGATCTATCATAACGGTCAATACCAGAAAAGACCATTGGCGGAGACAAACTGACAGACAACAGAGGTCATGCGAAGGTCCATTCCCGATTGATTGGCGTTGTAATAAAGGTATATTCCTGACCGCAATATTCGGATCTTTTTCCCATCTCCAAACCTAAAGAATTGCGGCATGTTCCCTGTGTCACACCAAGACATCTTTGGGCGAGTACAGCTTCTTTCTCTAATTGGCCAGAAACCTCAAGAAATAACCAATTTTAGCACGACGTTAAGTTGAACACATGTCCATTCCACTTTTGTACGGTGAGGTGAGGTGAAATGGGGTTTAACGTCGCGTCAAAGATTATTGCACTTATATAGCGACGTGAATGTACGTGTGTGTGTTTGTGTGGCTGCTTGTACTAGTCCGGACTGATGCCGATTTATAGTGCTAGCTCACTGAGATACCATGCCGCAGTTTAACATGAATACCCTACTCAGACACAGTATACTGACTCCGAGCCGACCAGTCCTTGTTTTAGCCCCTTAATGCCGAGCGCCAGACAGGGTAACAACAAGTACCATATTTTAACGTCTTTTGGTATGACGCGGTCGGGGATCGAACCCCGGGCCTTCCGCTCTCCGGGCGGACGCTCTACCACTAGACCACGGAGGCGGCCCACTTTTGTACGAGATTCCACAGC